CGCAGGTGACGACTCCTCCGCTTTAATAAGAGCATCAGCGAACAACGCCGTTGTTTTTTTTGATTGTGCAAACAATCGGTTCTTGCTAATCAGTAACTACGTACGCGCACGCACGCAAAACGTAAACAAGCGCGGCGGCCAATAGACACGTCTTGCTCGTTTGATGTACATTACCAAATGCGTTTATAGTCAGACACACAAATTCACTTTTAATTTCGAATGATTTTTTTTTCGTTTTTTTTTTTTTTAAATCAGCGAATTAAAGAAATAATTTGCTTGGAAATATTTCACTGTTAATGTGATGCCTTTATTGTGCATTTATTATTTTATAGTATGTTTTTTTAGATATAATATAAAATCACGTTGGTGTACCAAATGAGTAAACATAGGCCGGAAAGTCATGTCACATATCATGTGTATATTTCTCGTAATTACATGATTTTTTTGTTCAAACGAAAATGATTTTTTCTGCGGTCTACGTGTTGTTTACATGTGCATAACATTCGGTACCCGGTATGTATGGCCATCTGGCACCACAAAAGTCATATAATGATAAATTCGGCAAATGTGTACATCCCGCCACTTGTACGGGTCTACAATTTAAACTACCCGCCTAGTGCGCAGTAGTATGCGCAGAACAAATTACATATCAGACCAATTTGCGCGAAACAACAGCGAAACACAAAATGCAAATAAAATAATAATAAAAAAGATACCTTTGTTTTTTGGTGTTATTTATCATATTAAGGTACTTAATTTTTTCATGAAAATAGATAGTACATATTTTCACAAAAAATAATTTCGAAAGAATGTCAATGTCAGCGACAAAAAGATTTCCATGGCGACCGTATTGAAATTACAATACTTGTATAAAATGGCAAGTTCAATTATTTTTCACGCATATCCAATCAATTTCTATCGCATATATCGCTATTCAAAAAAGAATCACGTGCTCGAAATAACAAAGTTTATGGTCGCTAAAATCCTCGGTAAATATGGATTTTCCCATCTGCCGCGTGATATATCGACAGACCACAGCGTTCATTCCTAAATAGAGTAATACCCGGCCGCAGGTAACAACAATGTGACAACAATATATCGATGGACGAGCCAAATTAAGACAACGATTGCAGGAAATTCGGTTATGATGATTTCCAATGATGCAGTATACGAGTCAGATGAAGTGAAACGTACACATAGTACGGAGCGGACTTGATTAGATCGACACCCCCGACAAAGAAATATATCTATCGTTCAAACTGTTTAACAATTGAGATTTCCATTGGGTTATATCTCTTTTTCGCCAATGTTATAATGAAACCGCTAACCAAAACACAATCACACTCGCTCCTTCTGTGTGCATTATGTGTTTTGAGATCTCACGCAGTTGCGGAAAATGAGCGCGTCGCGTGGTGTTGATTGTAGGTCGATAGCGGAGAACACCATACAAAAGTGTGTCTCGATGTCTCTCGTAGATAACAGCCCTGTGTGTATATTTATGTTTCTGTCGCCACCCCCCCCCACTTTATACACGAAATACAATAACAAATCGATCTCCGGTCATATGACCGAAGTCTGAATCAAGTCTTTCCAATTGTCACGAGTTTGAACTTTGCTAGCTGCTCTTTCAGGTTTACCCAACCCCCGGGGCAAGAGATTCGACGTATTCAGTGACCCGCTACCATTCCATTGCATCCCGCCTGTTGGACATCTACCAGCAGCCGTATGCATTACCGATAACCCAGCCCGCTCAAAATAGCTCTTATTTTTACATTTGTGTCTGACCTTTCTAATCCATTCAGGCGATGTATAAAATGAAAACCTTTTTGTACTCGCAATTTTTCTACAGAAAATTACCCCCCCCCCCCAAACGAGAGTGACGTTTTTTATCCACGTTATTGCACTGGCTTAATTGAGCAAAGCTAATTTAATTCCAAGTTAAGGGGCATCTGACGGTTTATTTTTCCCGGTTAGTTATATGTCCTCAAACTGAGGGCACGCTAGGCCTGCTAATAAGGGTAAGTATTGATGAGCGGGGGTCATAGGTCGTAGCAGCTATGTACATTAATAGCAAGCAGCTAAACACATACAGCCAGTTTCCCGCCCTCCGCTACTACCACCACTACCAGCTTTTGGTAGGACATTTATATCCGGGGCACTCGAAGGGTCTCGGCCTTATGACATCGTATCGTCTCTGTCTTTGATTTGGGTCGTCGTTTATGCAATACACACAAGCACTGGTTGGATTGAAGGACGGTTTGACTGGTATCATACGATTAGTACCGCTGTATAGTTTGAAGTGAATCGACGCAATCCGCAACGAGGTAAGCGAAAAGGTTTAAATTTCAGCGTATCCCCAAAAGAAAAGAAAAAACAACGGACTTTACGATAGATCGTCAAAAATACCTTAGGTTTTCAGAAGCGGGTTGATCGGTGACAATGGCTGCGCTTGGCAATGGTTGTCTGGGGCACGGTACGGTCAAATGTCGAGACACAACCCTCGAAATAAATTGTTGATCTTTGCCTCCGATATGAATGTCTATTGAGTATAGGTGATCGGCACCTGTAGTTAGTCTATATTTAACGGAGAAGTCATTTGTGCGAGGATAGGTTAAGTGTTGAAACTATACGAGTAGCGTTGGTACGCACTGGTAGTCACTTGTATACGGGCGGTTTAAAACATATTGTTAGTGTGGAAGGGTCATGCACCCATTTAACACGTCGCGATCTGTTAGTTTTCAGTCATGCCGCTGCCGCTGCCGCCTACTGTCAATATATCGATCGCTCGCCCCCTTCTCCCCACCCCAATCAATGTAACATATATGATCACAATGACACCTCTTAATACAGTCGCGATAATAATATAGCAGACGCGATGGCGGAAACCCAACATCATGGTCGCTGAAAATTCCCGGGCTGGTTTCAAACCACCACGTTCGCTTTACATTACCTCTTCGGTTGAATTGTTTTAAATACCACATGGCCCTCAAGTCGTCCTGTTTGATCCGTAGTGATTATACAACGCCAAGTTCAAGTTTGAAAGTAGGTCGTCAGACAGCTCATGTTTAGACATTCTCGACAAGGCCACGCCATTCAAATAGTAAATACACCGTTATACAAACAACGACCGTTGATTGGGACAACGTGGACTCGGCCGCATATAAGTTTGTTTTATTGGAAATTTTTTATCGTTCCACTTCGGTTGCTGTAAATACTTCGCAAATGTTTCCAAAGTGTGTCAAAACAAGACAGTGTAAATACAGACACAATTTATTGCGAGAGATTTCGTGTAATGCTCTTTCTGACCCCGTTTGATGCCAGTGTATTTCGCAAATTCCACCGCGAGTACATTGCTCTTCGCGAAGCGGGGCCGCCCAGTCGCGTTCGTTGTCACGGTCGTGGGCAAACATGGCCGAATGATTAACATAATAAAATGGTATTTTATTTTAACAGTCGGTTAATAAAACTCCTACGTTCGTTGGAGATATACATCGAATGTTTCCGTAAAATTAGACACTTGTTCGCACATTAAAACAAATGTTAATGCACGCATATTCACCCTGTAGACGATTATAGATAAACATTTTAAACGATAATATTACAACTAAAAAAAACATACAACTGTCAATAATTATGTTATTCTCGGTCATAACGATCCTAATACCGTTAATTTCTTAATGATTTCTAATTAAAAGGTCAAATGGGGTTTCGACCCATTGTTATGTCTGTTGTTGTTAATGAATGTCTGGCTTTGGTTATAAATAAAGATCACGACTGAGATTAGTCTCAGAGGAGTTTACAACCAGCCCAAAATGTTTTACCGTCTGCTAAAGAAAAGAGAGCGAAAATAAAATCCAAATTGATTTTCCATGCAGTGTTCTTAGTTCATCGTTTTATCAATTGTCTTCATTTTATACGATTTAAGCGTGTGTCCAGAAAAAAACTGCTTTCAATTTAGTGTGGAATTTTCTATCATACGATAATTACATATCAAAGCGCGCCATAATTTTCCCGCCAAAATGCTTCACATACTTGTTACCGTTTTCTTTTTTCACAGCATTGCCCGAACAATTGTGAAATGTATCAAATCGTCGGAAATGTTACAATGATCATATTTGTACATATGTAGATGTAGTAAACGAAAACAAAACAAAACAATGCGTCCTTTTTGGATTACGAAAGTAACTCATGTGCATGTCGAAATTATGACCTGAAACAGGCTGTATGAATGCAGATTCGATTTATGAAAGCAGGCGCAGACGACACATTGCACACATATCTTTTCATATCACATGACACTGTTCATAAATCCACATATATTAAGTTTCATGTTTACGCTGAAAAAAATGTTTATTCATTTTGATAAACGGGCAACCTGGAGCTAATCGCCTAGGCAACCGTCTAACCGCATCTGGGTTACATTACCACGCGAGCTTTCTCCTGTCGCCGCCGTCGCCGAATGGAACCATGTCCACTAGTTGTAAATGTATAAATGCAAGTGGGAAATTGTTACACAGAAACGCAGGAAAAAAATGCATGCACACTAAAAGGCTCTGAACGTTGCAGGTGCTCACTTACGTAACCCAGGCACGTAGTAGTGAAATACTAACACAATGGAATTCGAACAATAGAAAAGATGGTGAATGATAGGTAGCTTGTATACGCGAATAACAGTATTAGTTAATATTTATAAACCACACGCAGGCTACCGAGTAACCAATATCTTTTATATGCCACTTAACACCGCATAGTATAACACGCCGACTATATTCAATAATACTTGCCTTTGCAGACGCGAGAACCACCGAATGGCAGCTTTAATGCGAATTAAAGTTATGGTAATACGTACATAGTTACGTTAGGCTATTACAAAATTCTTCATTTTGCATGGCTGAAAATATAATTTAGCGTAAGTATCCCTGGCAACGCCAGTGTTAAATTAATTTGGGATAAGAGAGAGTTACGTTGGCGTGAAACGTACAACGGTGTAAATTCGAATTACAATTCATACGCTGATCGCAGGATAGCACTCCTTTAAAATTACAAGGACACGGGACGGACCGCACCAATAAAAAGTCAGACACCCTATATATCGACTGACCCCACAAATCACGACACAATACGCCAGGCATGCACTCCTATACAAAGGTTACCATGGGACATGAACCAATCTCAACATAGAATGTCTTGCTTGTTTTCTGATGACTTAATCGCATTGTCATGAGGTAGGGCTCCCAATAGTGCTCAAATTAAACGCACATTCCGGTTTGAAATCAATTGTAAAAACGAGGACGAGAAAAATCTGACTTTCTGTCTGCGCCTATGTTTGTGTGTGTGTGTGTGTGTGTGTGTGCGCGAAAATTGCCGCGTCTTCGGGATCGCTGAGACAAGAAAATGAAACTCGATTTATTTAAAAAATAAACAAATTAAAGTACAATAAACTAATGTCTCACTCAAGTTGACGTTCCCCATTGACCATTAGATGGAGCATTAACCGGGCGTAGTGTGTGAATCAACACAAGTTTATTTATAAAAAAACATTGATGTGTGTAACATATGATTGACAGTTTGGGTGGAAACATTGAAATTCTCCGTCCTATGCAACGTATAACCAGATGTCATTTGACTTCGTCATCGACCTCCACTTTACAGTGTCTTGATCTTTGTATTCATGATACATCCACCTGGTGGACGGGAAAAGACGCATTTAACGCCCCTAAGGCGCCTCCAACATAATACCTCGCGGTTCATTCACAACTCGGATGATTGACACTCGATTATGGAAATTGAGAACATTGTACTCTTAGTCGGTCGTGGCAATTTTATCCCAGAATGCACTGCGTGTCAACCACGAGAAGAAAAAAAGAAGCGAAGGCAGAATGCTGCAGTTTAATTGTACTATTAAAAAGTAGAGCTTCGGAAACTTGTACGATTCAAAGAAAAGATTTCTATAAATAATGAATAAATAAATAGAGTTCGTACAAGTATTCCGAAGTACATGCGCATTGACGTCGCTCATTATTGATGACGTAGCTTGAATTACTATTGTGTCTGACATAATATTTTGTTGCTATTTGGGGTTTTAGTTTAAAAAGATTGTGTTCTTTGGAAGCTGTCTTATAAATAACATATTGTTTTCATAATATTTGGCCGTTTTTCCAAAATAAACACAGACAGCCAGTTTCCTGCCCTCCGATACTACCACCACTGCCAGCTTTTGGTAGTATATTTATACCCGGGGCACTCGAACGGTCTCGCCCTTATGACGTCGTATCTTCTCTGTCTTTGATTTGAGTCTTCGTTTATGCAATACACACAGCACTGGTTGATTGATGAACGCTGGACTGGTACACGTAGTGCCTAATACCGAACTGAACTGCGAATAGCTTTCTACTTTCAAAGCCATGTTGGTCGTCCCGGTGACTGTACACAGATTCCTGATGCTGTATTGCGTATGAACCAATGAAACACGTGTCTGCCTTTAAGGATCAAATCACGACCGATCTTTCTTTACTCGCTGCGTTGTTTATAGATAAATGTCATTTTTCTTTTCTTTTTTCAGACAGACTCGTTAGGTTGTTGTTGCGCGGACATTAACATTGTTTCCTTTGTATGGCTCCGATTACAGAGGTCGTCCGCCACAGTGTATTGTACGTGCATGATTAAATCGTACCTGAAGTAGGGGTCGAGTGCTTGACCAATTAAAGAATCACGACATCAGCCGGCTCAGGTAACCAGACGCTGGCTTTTAGGCTTTATATTTAAAACTTGGTTAGCTGTGTTTTCGTTAGAAACTCTATCTATAATAGCTGGCTCTGATACGATCCGCAATTTGTGCCAGCAAGGTGTCCCGGACACAATGCGCGTACGTGATGTAATGTTGTCGGAATTTCGTCTGATTTTTCCCCGACCTAACGTTTACGGATGTCTACGATAAGCGATCGTACTGAAATGTGTTTTATTCGATGATGATTGTTTTCCTGGTTTATTCGAACTAATATACTGCTCGCATTATATACTTTTGCAATGACTGAATTTTGATAACTCTATATGTCAACACAAATGTTCATCAAATGGCCATTTACTTAAACATCATGTTAAATTTGGCGTTGCTCCGAATCGAAATATTTATCCGCCAAGTTGTGGTGTGGTAAAATATGTGAAAAATATGTTTGTGGTCGTAATACGATTAACTACAAACCAACATGAACGACGACGATTAACAAGATGGCGGATTTGCTGGCGTACTAAAAAAAACGCGTGTCACTGAAGACGCGCAAATCTATTGAAACAAACGCCATAACAAAACCGTATGACCGGGTAA